ACGCCACAGTCGCAAAGCGTCGATAATACCTCGGTCTTCTGGTACATAATATAATATAATACTAATAACGCGTTTTCCACGTCAAAAATATCGATTTGGATTTAATGCGGCGTGTAGTTTACTGCATTATCATCATATCACATAATCTGTGTTGTACCTACTTACCCGACAACCAAACATCTTATGTGCGTACACGAAATATTGTTACACTTTTTAAAAGGACTCCAGTACACATTTTAAATACTTTCTCGAAGTATCTGTAAAATACAAATTTTCAAATACTCATATTTTTAGTTTTTTTTTAAATATAATTTTATTTTTTTATTTGTCAAGTAGTATATATAAAAAAAATGTGATCATAATAAAATATAATATTTTTTTTGCATTGAATTATTTTAATCAACCGAAAATTAAATACTTTGACAAAGTAAACAGCGAGTATATTTTAATATTTAGCTCTACAAAATTGATGAAAAAAACATTGAAACCGCGATTGTGTTGATTTATAAGCAGGGTAAAACAAATATTTTATAAAACTATTTTAACTGTTCGAATTTATCTATAAATAATTTTTTAATGTATTTGCACTCAAATATTATTTTACTGACTATTAAAATACGTATTTTAAATATTTTTCGATTAATTTTTTTCGTATTGTATTTGCAAAACACTTTAAAAAAATATCTTTTACTAGATTGCAGCACACTAAAAGTGTCATGTGCTGAGTTCGTGTATGTACATAGACCGAAAAAAAACATATCATATTTTTAAAATCTGTGCATGTTGCGCAGTGTGTTATAATTATAGTATCGATGATGGGAAAAGTGGAAATTAATTATGCAAATTACTTGTGGGCTCTGCATGACATTATGTCTCCTTACCGATGAGAACGCATAAAATCGTAGATGTTCCTATATAGAAAATATACCATTATTGTACCTAATTGATCGAAATGTGTGTCAAACGCACAGCAAATATCATTATATATCTACATTGCAATAAGTATATAACGCACCTATAGCTGCCGAGACTTACGGATATAAAACACGCAATCGGTATTTGGTGTTTTTACGATTTTATACGAACATAAAAATGAAAATATGTAAAAGTAGATCACAGCCGGCCGTATATGCAAAATCCGAGAAAATTTTTATACACTTCGCTCGTCGTAGTGCATTCTAATATCGTGGAAACGAAATAAAATACGAAGTATAAACGTGTATTTCTATATTTTTTCTATGCGTATTTCTTATAAATGCGTGTGATCTCGACGAGATGGTTGTTTTCGATAATCTGAAATATTATGTCCGGTTGTAGACTACAACCTGGGCCATAGTTGTAACAGTTTTTATTAAATAATTTTTTTTTTAAAGGCAATTAATTTTTTAAGTGATTTCTGTCATATCATAAGAAATACCATTTTGAGAACACACTAACACATTGGCATGTAGACATATTATTGCCCTTAGCACACAAAGTTATAGAACTCCAAAGCTACGGGTTTAAATTTTGATTTAGATACATCAAAATTTACAAAAATTAAAAATACCTGCTTAATAGTTGATAAGTGAAAAAATTTCGGTTCTATTTGAAAAACACCAGTTTGTATTTAGCACAGGATCATCTTTAAGCAGAATAAACTATCTCAGGCATTTAAAAATGATATTAAAGGGTATTTAAAAGTTTCAAACATCGTGGTTTTAATTTATGCATAATTTAAGCTTAAACAATACATCAGATATAGCTGAGGTGGCCAAACAACGGCTCGAGTCTAAGCATTTTTACTAATACGATAATAACAGGTATTATTCCTTTTCCCTCTATTAAAATAATATTTTTCATTTTATTGAGTGTAATGTGTGTCTCATAGGCTATAGTTAGGTTAGGTTTAGCCCTGCTGTATAAGTATATAGCGTACCTATAATATGTTCTTTTAATGCACATTTGTACACGTTTATACTGCTGTAGACATGTTGTTATAATATTATACATGTATAAATTCAAAATTGTCAATCTGCTGAACTTTTTGAGCGGGTTATTACCACGAGTTATCGTGAACTTGAGTATTTAAAACAAATTTTTATACCACGTACATAATATATAATTTTTTTCATAGTAAATACCCTTTTGCAACATGGGACATTGGGTTTACAAATTATAATTTAATCAGTTACATTTTATATTAATGATTCTAAATGATTTTAAATTTTGTTTTGAAGATTGGCAGCTGTGGTGAATTGAATCATGTTGGATATGGTTTGAGGGCGATTGTGGAGTATTTCTACTAGTGATTCGGGCAGGTTGTGACTAACCTGATGTTGTGGTATATTCAGTGAGAATATATAGCCATAATATTATGGTTTATGGTGGTTTGGATACCGCAGGCTGTGCATATTGGGGGTTCTTCCATTAAGAAACTGTGGAAGATTTGAGTACATAACATTAAATTACTAGGTATGTCAAATTTGTTCACTACTTTTATTCTAATTTGACCTCTTTCGAGCGTCGTGTTCTCGCATTTATAATTTTGTATTGTACTGATCACTGATCAGTGGACACTGTTCAGTGATTATATTATTATATTAACTATCAAGTACATAATATATCAATAATTATTGAACTTAAAAGTATACAAAAGATATATTTAAAGGTAAATTATTCTTACAATACGTGCCAAAAATGACTCGATTTTTTTCCTGTGAGCCATTGAATATAGAATAAATAGCTTTACTCAAATAAGAAAAAAGTATGGTAATATGCCACGTTAGGCATAAGTGCCATAGATTGTCCATCCCTGACATAGAACTTTAAGGCTGCATATTAATCAGAAAATCTTAAAACTAGATTTAACTGAAAATAAGTCTGTATCATAGAAAGATGTCTAAATGTGAATGACTCACAAGCACCACATTTTCGGTCAGACGATCAGTTTTAAATTCTCTAATATTTAAAATAGGTATAGCTTATCATGAAATGATTTTAGAAAGAAAAAAAAACGATTTTTAAACTTTTGGTATCTAGGCCATCGATGTGACGGATCAAAGTATTACATCGTCGTGTTTGTATAGATGAAAATATGATCGATTGCATCGTGCCATCCGTTGACGCTGACCTAGCCGAGGCTAGAGTAGATTTTGAGTTCGACTATGTAGAAATTATATACATATTATAATAACGAGTGTTTTTAATTGAACGAATTCTCGCCGCCAATCCTGTATAATTTAGACACACAAAAATAATTTATTTTCTTTCGCCTCTGATTCGTGTGCGTATATTTGGTTAGGCGATTTCGAACGGAAAATATTTCTTAGCCACCGCCTCCGACATTATACAGAACTCGAGGCGTCTCGTCGGCGATTTGAACGCAGCTGACGAGCACGATGATAATTATTTATTTTAACGGATGGAATTATTTTTTAACCGTCTGCGGATGACTCCCATCATCATCGATTACAATTATTATACACAGCGCAATGTGCTCGGGAATCGTATTTTAACTGGCTGCAGAGTGGGTCCGACGTGAGCAGTTACCTACCCGTACATTTTATATTATATGTTCACTGTTGCACGTGTATGCTGTATAATAGTATCCAATAAGTAATATGAAATTATCGTTTATAATAATATAATGGAATAATATCGGAATGCGACGGTTTCCACGTGACCGAAGCGGCGTACGAAGATGATAATAATAATATGGCAACGATTATAATAACTGCGGGTGCCGCCAATAACAAGGTCATTTACCGGATTATATATGTAGTACGACTACGAAAATCTGATTATGATGATATTATACCTACCTATGTATAGTGCAAGGGTGGTGAACCTAGCATGGCACGAGCTTACCAGAGGTGACGATGAGTTGGCCAAATGTTGACGACATGTGAACATTTTTATACATCATTGTTTGATTTCGCATCTTAATGAAAAAAAAAAAATAATTGAAACCATACTTATAATTATTTCTGGAAGATAAATAGTTGCCAAATTATGAAATAATGAAAATGTGGAACTCATAACTAATTAAGCTCTTCGATAAATGACTCATTTCAAATACCTATTTGTTTACCACCTGGGTCTCAGCTATGTGGAAGGTATAACTCATCACATTTGAACATAAAAATAAAGTATTTATTCGATTATTCCACTTTAAAAGAATTATTAACACTTGGTTATTAAAATATACCAATTTGAGTAAATTATACTAATATTGTATTCAATTGTAATGTTGTTTTGTATAGAGTTTAGAAAATGAACCGTTGGAAGGCATATACATTTTATGTATATTCCATCTGTATTTTCTTTGTAACTTATTGTTTCACTACAATAGCTTTGCTTCCGGGGTAAGTTAATTAAATTGTTCTTTTGTATACATGTAAATAGTGAGCGCATTGTACAATTTAATCTAAACTGAATGAAAAATGAAAATGATCTACTCAATTTTCGTGTCGACGTAGAGTTGCGAAAGTTTATTTTCTACAACAAATCCGTGGATGAAATCAAACAGAGGATAATTAATACTTACACTGAAGACTGAAGGGTGTAGCAATGATAATGTTGCTTATTGTATTTAACGCTTTTAAAACTAACAAAACACGTCATCCCTAATGTGGCAATTAAAAAAATGTTTTCAAAGACCCCCAACTATCGGTCGGAGAATAAGAAACAGCGTTCACAGGTCACTCCGTCGCGGACATCCTATTTGGTATTGCCCACGACTTACTGTCATGTGAACATTTTCTAAGACTTTGATCGCCAAACGTTGGCACGTGACCCAAAAAATATTCGGCAACTCTGGGCTGTAAGTCGCATTAAAGTATATAATATAGTAACACAATATTATCGCTCTCGGACGTACATTACAGCTCGTTTTACTTTTGGTGAGAACAAAGATGGGCCGGAAGAAAGGGAATCGCGGCGGCGGCGGCGGCGGCGGCTAGTGAAAGACCGGTTGCGTTGCCGCTCGCGAAATGGCATATAAGGGGGTCCTGGCCGTCCGATGAGTTCATTATTTACTCGATTCGCGTCCAGTTTTCCGGTAGTCTGCGCCGTCCGTCGCCCGTCGCAAACGTTTACAACGATAGCTGCACCATAACATCGCGGATATAGTTCGAGTGGCGCCGCGATATCGATAAATCGGCAAAAAAAAAAAACGTTTTTGTCTTTCTTTTTTTCGATTCCATTCCGTCGCATTCTCGCACGATGTCTGCCGTAAAGTTCGCCGCCGTGTTCGCTCTGGTGGCCGTGGTCGCGTCGGTGGCCGGTTCGCCAATGTCGTCGTCCGCGCCTCAGCAGCCGTCTCCGCCGCCGCGTGACCAGCAGGACGGGAACAACGACGTGAACCTCCTGCAGCAGCCGCACCTCCAACCGCAACACGCCAAGCCGTCGTACGTGATACGCGAGGAAGAGTTGATCCGGAAGTTGAACGCCAAGTGCGGCGCCCGGGACGTGTCCAGCTGCGTCATGTTGAAGTTGGTCACGTACATGAACAAGCTGATGAAGAAGAACAGCCTGGAGATCAGCGACATGATGGAGATCGCCAAGAAGGACGGACAGGCCGAGGAGACGGCCACCGCCGGCGAGTCGTCGGTCCGCGTGGACGGCTCGGCCAGGGCGTACACCGACGAGTCGGCGTTCGGCGAGGTGATGGCCGACAAGATGTGGAGGTACGTCCAGTCCCGGGCGCTCAAGATCAAGGTGCTGCCCGAGGCCGACTTTGTCGTGTCCGCGTCCCCGGAACAAGACGGGTCACTCAACTTCGGAATGTCGTTCAGGTCCGGCAAAGACTTGACCGAGTCCGGTGAGCATAACACTTTTAGTCTACCATAATATAAACTAACCTAACCTCGTCAGTTTTTTTTTTTGGTTTCGTGACAGCACATGTTCGTTGTCATGTAACAATATACATGATGGCGGAAAATTGGAAAATTGTTTTCGATCTAACCATACATTAGGTTTTGAGTTTATTAGTGGTCGAATGTTATTAAGTGTAATGTTGCATACTATTAACAATTAACATGTTACAAATTACAAGAACGTGTTAAGAGCTTATTTTTTTGTGGTCAAAATTTTTAAATACTTTTTAGACAATGTTTTATGAAAATTCATCCATTAAAGTGATTTTATCCCATATTAGGGATATGTATAATAAGTAAACATAATAAATAGTAAGTATACTAAAATAACAAAGCCAATTAGGTTTTATATGAGCCAAAAAAATTCTTGAAATGAATAATAAAAGTTTTCACAATATCTTCGGAATGATCGGATATTAAGTATATACTATTATGAATATTATACCATTACGGTTATTATTGGTTTCACAGGTTTAATTTTTAACTGGTTTCATTCCTACCTTCAGACATAATAATCATTGTTTTTCCTTGCCCGTTAGTACCGGACTTTTAATAAGCTGCAGCTGTGTTTTTTGTTTTTTATACTGTATATTAGTTTTTTAAATATTTTCTTCTGATTGCACAATATTAGTAGTGATGCTATTTAAAGGGAACTTGCATAAGTATTTTTTATAAGCTTGTAAGTGGAGAAATATGCCAATATTTTTTTATGGTCAGTCTATTAATAATTTTTCATGAGCTGTGGACATACTCGAAAAGGTAAAACACGGACTCAAGTGCTTATTACATTTATTAATGTCATTCAACTCAGTGTAAGATCTGAGAGTAACACTGTTAACCTCTAAAATATGTGTGCATTTGAAATTGCGGTTTTAATTGCTACGACATTGTTTAGCAATTATTTTTAAATGTTTTAAAATAATTGTTATACTTGATAATATTCATTAGTCCTACAATACAACAAATTATTATGACAATATTATATTATTTCATTATCATACCTATTTTAATTAACTCTTAATATTTAAAATATTTAAACTTACACAAATAGTTCGTTCAAAAAAACAAATGTGGTCTATAATTTAGTATGGATAACTTGAGGTTCCAAAAGCAATATAATTATACAATTATATTAGTTTTGTATAGTATATTATCATGATTTCCATATTCGAAACCATTTTTAATAAAATGTTTAAACTGCAGCAGATCAGATATTCCAAATCAATTGATACAGCATCTGATATTCATATTGTTGTATTGTACTGTTTGATTGTAACACCGTAGGCATGTCATTATTCTTTGAAATAAACTCTAATAACGATAATAATATAGTATATAGGGCATAGGTACTTACCTCGGTATCTGTACTGTAGTGTAGACTAATAGAAATCAATTATAGGTATAAAAAAAAGTCTCAAAGTATTCCGACATTTCAACAATTATAAAATAATTTGAAAATACGCACTATATAGTTGAATTTCAATAACTCGAATTTTATTTTTGACCCTCGAAGTGTTTTTTCATGTGTGTTTAAGGTATACAACTCAAAAAGCCAAAACATACATGTTAAGCTGAATTTATTTTTATTATCTTTTCATTTATTTTGTGTCTCTATCGGTTGTTTAATTTGAATTGGCTGTAAATTCATAAAATGTTTACTTGTTCACTCATACGAGTGATTCTTCAAATTGCGATTACCATTCAAGAGTATAGTATATAATACGAGATATACAATCTACATACGAGCTTAATCAGCTCGTAATTTTGTCTAGATCTGTCACCATTATTATTAATAATAATTATAATCATTGAAAATCTTACTTTCACTTACTATAACAACGAATTATACTAACTATATGGTTCAAAATTACAATGTGAAGTTAAACATACGTGCTGAACTATATTATGCGTATATGCTAACAATTTGTTTTCAATTAGGAAAGTATAATAATATACCATTTCAACGTACAGTGTCGTTACACGTGAATAATTTCAAGACGCGCCGTCTCTATTAATTGGCCTCAACCATAATAATCATAATATAACGTTTACGTTCGAGTTTATTTTGTATTAATTGGTACCTATATTATTTTGTCCCGGAAATTATGGTTATCAGCCGAACGGATTATTTGAAAGCCATCAAATATAATTATCAGCTGATATTAAATTTTACTTTCTCGGTTTCCGATCGAGGAAACTCGACGGTGACGTCTTGATTGGACATTGGCTTATAATGATGTTTACAAGATTTAGGAAGGAAAAAAAGCAACGTAAAATTATTATTTCATCATGTCTAACGACGGCGGTGGCCGCTCGACATTTGCACGCGAAGTCTAATAATTGTTTTAATAATAATTCCGGAATACCTCGCGCCGTCTCAAACGATCGCGTGTAATACATATGATTATTATAACGAGCGATTAAGTACTTTCGCGCGCCATTTGATACAATTTTTTGACTCGCCGGAGCGTGTAAAATCATTTCCGAAATATTTCAATCGAAATGTTTTTACTTTCGTCCGGCACGACGCATTATTAATATGGCACCCGATGAAAATGTGTAAGTATAATATAATATTTATTTTCCGACATCGATTTTGCGGCCGTTCGGAAAGTCGTTTTCGCGTTAAATGTATACCTCTCTCGGTGATCGAATTCGACATAGGTCCGTTCGATATTTTTCCGTCCACCGTACGAGAGTTGATTAAATTTATTATACCTGCGACGTTCCCACACACACACGCACACACACCATCGTCACATACACAGTACACACGTCGTCTATCGTCAACCACATAACAATAATAATAATATTATTATCATCATTTGAAATTCTCTCTCGCTGGTCCCCGCAGCACGGTACCTACGTGACGGGAACTAACGATTTGACACATCGTTTTCGCATCGATTCTCTATCGTCAATTATCACCATCACACACACACACACACACACATGCACACACACACACATGCACACACACACAGACATAACCCCACATGCGCACGGGTATTCACACTCGTATACAGACGAGCAACAATACAACTAGGTTAGACACAATGCACTTTTCTTTTCGAATTATTAACGTTTAATTTTCGTCCGAGAGTTGACAACAATGGAAACGATTACCCGCGGGTGGGCGGGAGGACGACGCGAACGACTACCGCGGCGGCGGCGGCTGCCGTTCGGAAAAGTATATAAGCACTTAGTTACCTGCCTGTATATAATATACGTATGTAGGTATGTAGACAACATATATATATAATTTGCGATATAATATCGTTATGGAGGTAGGTCCGAACCGCTCTGGGAATGTTTCCCAGTTCAAAAATTGTTCAAAAATCCGGTCGGCGACCAGCGTGAAACATTATATTATTATTATTTTTGTGAATTCGGCGCATCGCGCATCGCAGCCGCAGACCAGTCGTATACGAGTATTGTACAAATAACTGCTGCAGAAGTAGTATAATAATAATAATAGTAATATTGTATTCGAGTCGTATACCGTACTACAGGTCGACTATAAAGGCATATATTACAAGTGCAGCATAATATGATATAACTGACTGTTATCGCCACTATCATCACAGCATTTTTCTCGAGAACGGTGCTCTATGGTTTATAATTTATTATTCGCATTGTCTAAAAACACACAACTTCGGATTATAGACCTTTTACTTAGATCGCATACGTACGAATCTGTACAATAAGCTCTTGCCGCCCAGTCTAAATTGGAAAATAATGTATATTATAAGTATATAATATTATGTACTCATAGTTCGTTATAGATGACTTAAGTTACCTACTATTAAATATACACATTTAAAATTAAAACGTTTTTTAATGAGATTTGTCAGAAAATATTAAATGTAGTAAAATGTATTGATATGATTTTGATTTGTTCATTACCGTGACCCTGTTGTTTTTTTACCACGGTTGCAGGACGAGGTAAAAACAAGAACATGGGACCTATGATGGCCGCTATGATGATGAAAATGGGAATGCTCAAGGTCATGGCTTTCAAGGTTCTCGCCCTGCTCGTAGGCAAAGCTTTGTTCGTCAGCAAGCTCGCCTTCTTGTTGGCCACCATCATCGGGCTGAAAAAATTATTCAGCCAACAAAAACACGTCACGTACGAGGTGGTAGCTCACCCGCACCACGAGTCCCACGGCAGTGACTCCTACAGCTCGGCCGGATGGGGTCGTTCGTCGTCGGAGGCCGCGCACAACATGGCTTACTCCGGACAGGGCCAGTAGACACAACTTCGTTGTTATTAGGTGAGTTCTTGACTAAACGATAGAGTGATTAATTATTGTTTAAGATGTTTTATTTGCCAATTAGTTAACTTTCTAATTGACTTGATGACTATAATAGCTTCACTAGTTTGAGGGACCGTTGTTGTAACTCGATATTTCACGGTTTCCGTTGGGTTTGAACAATTTACTATCTTTTAGGCTAAACTAAAAATTGATTTAATATTGTATAATATCATAAGAATATCAATGATTTGATGTTTTTAGTTATATTATTAGTGATGACAGAATATATCGCTCAACGAGAATCAGGAATAAGGAAAAAAATATTGCTAAAATAACAAAAACTTTAAGATACAATAATGAAATAATAATGGTAACCAACAGGTTTAAATAGAAGAAGTATAAAAAAAAAAATCAAATGTTTTTATTTAAAGCTTATAAATAATGATCAGTTTTTTTTTCAAACTAATATTGACTTTAAAGTTGGCTAGTTAATTTATTATTTATAATAACTATTGACTTATAATTGATCGACTATCTTTCTTATATTTTGAATTAACAAACTGAAGTTAATTATGTAAATATTTTATTTGTTTCCTTTTAGAGTAGACAAGCGTTTCTGTATTTAACTAGTACACTAATTATTATAATTTATAATGGATGGTAACTCAAGATTATAATTATCTATATGAACATTCACTCCAAGAAAAACATTTTTATTAAGACATCTGACATATTATTACTATAGCTAACCAACAAATATTACATTGTTTAAATATTCCCATAAACATTTGTGTTTATGTGTTAAAATCTCGAGAAACAGCAATACTATTCCAATGATATCCAATTCCCTGATGATAAAAATGGCATAGGTATTTGTTATTTTATATAAGTATCTACCTAATCATAAATATTATGACGTCGAAAATGTGTGCTAAATTGTTTTTAATATCATAATTTTATGGTAACATTTGTCAAATGTAGAGCTAATTAAATTCAAATCATTAATTATTAATTTCAATTTACAAGAAGTAAAACAAGAACCACATACTATTTTTGAACATGCCATCCGGAATAGTTTTAAGCTCATCAATTACAGACAAAATTCATGAAAATAGACGACGTTCCGGTATCTAGGTTTAGACTAGGACACGCGGTTAATAGAGCCTAAACCATATACGTCATAATACCTAATTTGTTTTTCATGTTTTTTTTTTGTTTTCTACTCATATATAGGTAACTGCAAAAGACTTCACACGATGAGCTCAAGTCCTGTGTTCTACTGCAGTATCTATGCCTGTTCGAACGTTTAGTCAGCACCGGCTCGTCCGCACACCCAGCGTTCAGTATACTATTGTACTGAACGTCTGTTAATTTATTTGAAAAAAAAAACAAGACATTCACGTTATTTATTATTTATTATTTATATTTTATTTATTGTGTTAATTGTAAGATAGGTAGTTTTTGATATCCAATATAAAATATTATTATGTATTGAAAAATGTTTATAAATTCGCAGTACCTATTTATCAATCACCATCTACCCGCGATTGAAGATAAAATAATATAATATTCTACACACTGCATTACACATATTATACATAAATTTGCCTCAAAATATCCATCGTTAGTCGTGCGCAGCAGTGTAGACGGATTAAAGTTATTTTTAAGGTAATAAATTAGAGTTTTCATCATTGAATAATTTATAGCTTCTATATAAATATATAATTTTTTGTTAGAGTCTAACTCAGTCTTAAAACAAAATCAATGGCTCGTGAACCACACAATATAATGTTATGTATGTTTTATACTGTTTTTTTTTAAACTATATAACAATTAATATAATTATTTATTTTAATTTATGTTCATCTGCGCAATTATTTTTGAATTAAATAATTTACCACAGTCTGTAGTGTGTGACTTATGTATATCAAGCTTATTATAGTTATATAACGAAACACAAGACAAGTAAAATAGTTATAGAAAATAACTTATGAATGACTTGATTACAAAATAAATCATTACCTACCAATGTACGTCTAGCGTGTGTAAGAATGGAATGTAAAAAACAAGTATTCAATGTCCTACAGTTATAATAAAATAAAGACAATTTGACAAAAACGACCATTTATTATGGGTTTTTCTTCATTTTTTTGAACAAAACGGAGTCGACGTGTTACTTTTTATTAACACGTCGAAATGTCCGCACATTAAAATGTTCATAAATAAATAACTTTCCAAATAAATAAATAATCAAATAAATAAACTAAAATATAATATGTAAGTATGGATACTTAAAATAATTAATTTAAATAATTTAAAAATTCGTTTTGCACGCTGCGAAAAAATATGAAATTGTATGTACATAATATCACTGTACACTTGGATCATCGTGGACAATAATTCAACACTTACATTATTATTGTTGCGAAGTCGGCTGGGCTAATGAAGAGTTGGGAAGATGATCAGAGCCGTATATGGGTGTGTTGAAATGGAATTTTCTGAGAATCTTGGATTTAAGTTGATCAATTAATTGGGTTTGAGGAACTTGGATGTAGTTAGACACAGCACGCGAGCTGCATACAGAACTGGCGGTGAGTATTTTTCTTAAAAAAAAAAAAACACAATTTGTCCCATAAATGATGTACCAGTAATTATAATAACCATAATATTCGATCGTCGCCGGCATCCGTTTCGTATTATGGCTTCACTCTGGCCGCAGACTTGGCCATGTTGTCCGACTGATTGTGGCTAACCATCGTTGGCCTGTACGTGACCGGACTCACGTGCGAATAGTGCGCCTGCAGGTCGCTGCCGCCGCCGAAGTCTCCGGACGACATGTACTGTTGCTGTTGCGGCGGCGGTCCGTACTGGTCGGCGGGTTGCTGTTGGTGTTGCTGCGGCTCCTGATGGGGCTCGTAGGACGACTGGCCGGCGTCCGGGTAGTGGGACATCATGGGCGGCCCCTGCGGGGGGTGTTCGTCGAATTGCGGGGGCGCCGACACCCACTTGACCTGCACCGACTTCTTGGCCGGCGATTGTTTCATTTCCATCAGCTTGCACACCAACAGGTAGGCTCCGACCACCAGGCCCAGCTTGGTGGCGAAAAACGCGTGTATGATGAACAGCTTGATCGCGGCCATGGCCTTCATCATCAGCATGCTGGCGGCCGCCGTACCAGCCATCATCATGGCCATCTTGGCCGGCTTGACTTTTTTTCCCCGACCTGCGCACCACGAAACAAACGAGTCAAGTATTGAATTCACAGTTTGTAGTGCAAATTTAATTTTATGTTTAACCACACCCACTGCGAGGATTCACGTAGATTAGGTTAGGTTGGATTCAACTATTCATTCTATTATTTTTATGTCATTATTTGTTTATTTTTTTAATCGATTTAGAGTGAATTATTCAGATTCTGTAACACGAGACCTGATAAAAAGTAAAGTCAAAAACATAACAGACTTACGGGCCATATATAAGCATAATATTCATTGTATAAGTGCATAGCATATGATGATTTTTCATGCATTTTTACGCTTAGGTTCTATTGTATTTATTATGATTCTCATTTTTGCAATTTTTGAGTATGGTCCTTCTAACTCTTGTAATAGAATATAATGTTTTCAAATACCTAAATTTGTGTACAGCATTTATAAGCATTGTCTTGAGGTGATATCATTTTTTTTAACGAGTCTCTCTCTTTTTCAATGCAAATGGTTAAGTAGAAGATTATTTTTTTGGCAATGATATTACATTTAATTACATGTTCAAACAAGTTATTTTGAAGTTTAGTGTTCTTGTCTTTTGTTTTCTAAGGATAATTTTTATAACTGTAGAGTATTGTATATTTTACACACATAGTGTTGTAATTTATATGAATACAATTATGTTGCCCACTAGGAAACTATTTTGAATTAAAGAAACGAACAATGTCGAATGTATGACAAATCATGAAATTAAAAAAAAATTTTATCGAGACAATCTTTAAATTCCGTTAGTAAATAAAAATATTTAAAAAATGATATTTAAAATATTACTTGAAATTTTCAAGACATCAATATTTTAATTAACATTTAACAAAATATAGACATAAAAATGATCCATTCCTGTTTCCACTAAAAATTATAGTCGCGAATTTATTGAACAAATGAATGACATTTTAAGGGATCTACGATGTATGAAATCAATAATAAGATGGTTGTTGATGGTAACAACTTCAAGTTAGTGGTCAATAAGAAAATCAGGTAAAGATATTAACAAAAAGTTCAAACCAAATAAAAATATTTTTATTTATAATATGATTTTGAGACAATAGGAATTCGGTTGTACGTGACCTAAATTAACCGTTTAATAGTATTAACTATTTAATTAATTTTTCTAGAACAAATCACAGTAATTAAATGAAATAAAAACTAAAAGATTATTACAGCACTTCTTTTATCAATCCACTTCCGCCCTGCATTTATAGAAATGTTTTAATTTCACCTCATCAAATTAATTACGAAAATCTTGTACACCTACTTGTAGGCAATATTAACATAATCATGGAGGAAATTACACGTGTAACATATGTAAGTAGATCTATAATTAAAAAGAATATGAACAAAATACAATTAATTTGTATGTATAGTAGGTACTCGTTTCGCTTCGCTCCCATCAGTAGGCATGCATGACCCAGTGTAGCATTGTTATTTATACTATACCTATGAAAAAAGTTTGTTTATCATTTTACATAGGTATAAAAAGAATAGTTTTGACTTTTGGTTGAAGCTTGATATATTATTTATTTTATATTATAATATATTTCATACAGTGTACACTAGTACACAGTACTACTTATCCATTACTATGTTTTGGCTCTCTTAATGGTCGTAAAGGCGCATTTACAAAATATAATTAATTTTAATTATAATTAAATCAAAATGTGTGCAGTTACAGTAAATTAGATTATATGTTTACGGACAATATCAATACAAAGAGACATTTTAAAATTTGACGTTTAAGAATTGAATTAATTTATAGAAAAGCAAAATAATAATATTATCATTAACAAACTAAAACACGTATTTACAGAGTATAAAAATAGTTATGGGATGAATACTGATCTAAGTAATCAAACATTTTACTCATTTTCTGTTTTTTACCACTTTCTCGACGAATGCTGAGAATTTTCAAAACAATGACCTCCTTCGTTAAGTATTATATTATAACGCATTCACTTTCCAATGAGACACTTAAGAAACATTTTTATCACTTTGAAAAGTGTTTTTTGAAACAATAATACAACATTACAAATAAAATAGCTAACTATGCCATTCCTTAATCAGAATCTAAATCTACTTACGAAGGTTAGGACTAATACTTAATATAATAAGGCGCACTAAAGATATACAATGAAATATGATACAAACATAAATCTTCGTTTCCTTCGTTATTATGGTTCTATTGACTCCTCTTTTCCTCTCGTTGTAAAAAATTAATTTTAAGGTTCCTGTCACTCGGAGTTCACTTCAGTTATAAATTCCACTTTTCTCTATCAATTATCTAAACGAGCCCATCAACCCTACCTAACGACTTAATTTCACTACAACTGTTGATCAGTTTGACTTGCTTTTTTTAAAATAATAATCCTTTGGCGTTTTATTATAACTTATGTATTTTAATCGTCAAACATACTAATTTTTTATTATTATTGCGAATACTTTAATAATAAGTATTTCTATACTGAGCTTTTGCAGCTCGTCTATTCTGAAATAAATAAAATAAACTTGCTATAATCCTTGCCCTTAAGCGAAAGCTTATGATTGAAAGTGACAAAATATATTTTATAAATACATACTTGAATGGTGTATTGTATTTTAGAACTCGAAGGTACTTAATTTCAAAGTTCCAACAAGCTCGTAAGATGAATATGATATACAATAGTTATTGAATTTTAGCATTTTCAATATTCGGTGCGTTCTTTTGTTATTTCATCGCTCTGGATCATTCTTTTTATGCTTTTATACCTTTGATATAACGTTTTATTATATATATTTTTAAATCATAATACTTAAAACAATTATCATATTTTCATATATATTAGATACTAGAATTTAAACGTGAGATCACAAAACAAAAAATACAATAAATGGATTTGAAATAGTTACTTAAATGAAAAATGTACAACCAAAAAAAGGTATATTTCTTAGAAATCTATTTAATATATTTGTGTTTTATAACTTTTAAGTGAGACTTTATCATAACCTAAATACCTGTAACCAATGTGGCTCCATTTTAATTAATCAAATCTATTTTTCCTTTAATAGTTAGATAAGTTAACACTGTTTACGACTGTCTAAGATCTCTATGACTATTTTAATGATTTTAAATGAGTACCATTTATGCAGAACAATGTGATACTCGCATAAAAAACACATACATAATAATGTTTATATTATCGAAACAATACAAATAAAAATCTCGATGAAAATCCCGTAATTGTTCACATGAAATAAATACATACATCCTAAAGATAATATTATTTTACCATCTAGTCGGAGAGAAAATAGGAAATAGTCTATAATTTGCGTCTTAAAGTGAAATACATTGGGCCTTATTATTTTTAGTAAATATAATACAAATCATTTGTTTAGATTTCTTAACTCTAAAGTGAATTTTTGATGTTCTTTTATTGAACCAATTTATTATTATATATATTATTATTAAAAATAAAATTATATATCTTATATATTATGTATACTCTATATATTTTTAGTAATTTTTGTTTGAACTAATAAATTATAACCTTATTGTAGCTTTAATGCTGAGATTAAGAATGAAAAAAAAATCATACTGTCATATTATAAACCGAATAATAAGTATAGTTGTAATCATAATATAATATATACTGCGCTTTAATTATCTACCATCTAATATTGTTATGAACGTAATTTAATGTATCTACAGTGTTTGTCTGATAATATCATTTATAGACATTATTTTATAATATTATTTAATAGCGTAAACAATTCAAATAAACATCACTATAATTTATTGTTATCCTCAATTTACAAGACAGCAGATTATAACAGTAAATTCAATCATATAAAAAGTGGTTTCTCTTTAAAACAATTGTGTGTAAGTGTATTTCTTTCCAGATATATTTTATAGTAAAAGTATTTTGCCAAATATAGACGAAAAAAATGTAGATATTTTAAACACATGAGTTATAAAAACGGTATGACTTTATTGTCTATATTAGAATATACATTATATAGATTCTAGCTGCGAAACTATTTGAATTCGTGACATCTGCAGCTTAAACTCAAAAACGTTTCCCATCGTACATTATATTACTATTTGGAAAAGTCGGTCAATGCCGGGTGACATTCGTGCAGCGCAAAGTTCCCAATACTTCGTCTCTCGAAATCCGACGTGTATAATATACGACGTATAGGTAATGTTTTTAGTTCACTTTTATTACCTACCCAACAGTTTGATTTGTGCGTTTTTTTATCAGTGCGCTTGCAGATCCGGGCTTACCTTCGACCGAATCGCCGGCGCCGTCAGCGGCCATCCAAGCTTCCAACAAGTCGAACGGCGTGCCGGACGACAGCAGCATCGCTTGAGCTTCGATTGTCCGCGATATGTCGGCCAGACTGGACAGTCCTTCGGCGGCGTCGGGTACGGACGAGACTTGGTCGACCGTGGGAAATACGTTGCCGGCGGAGGCACACGACCACCACAGCACGGCGGCGCATACTACCAGCTGATTCGACGTCATCGTGATGGCGACTTGCTATCAAAATATAAGGAAATCTACTTTTGGCTAGACGACGACGGCAGCTAACACGACAGACACCTGTCGGATACGAATCGCGAGCGGACGACTTCAAGTACACTCTTGCCAGCAATGGTGGCGACGGACCGCGAGCTAAGATCTTTTATGCACGTTCCGGGCCGTGATCGTCGCCCACAAACGCTGTTGACCGTGCAGCGCCGGGCACGCGTTTTCCGGGATGCAGTGGGATATAAAATAATAATATCATTACATCGCATTATACGACACGATATAATTAACGACGACGCCGCCGCCGTTCTTTGTATACAGGGTGATTCGTAAGAACATTCATTTTACGAATCGAAGGCATAGTGTGTACCTAAGACACAATAATATAATCGTAAAATAATCAGGTTTTAATATTATGCCGCAGTATTACAAAATATTATGTGGTCAATATGACCCCACATCCAGCACACATCAATTGTATACGGTAGTACCTACATATTCAAAATTAGGATATTTATTTTTATTCGTCAATCTCGACATTAACTATACTCTGTAGACGGCACTTTCAATAATTATAAACGCTCACAAGACATACCTGCTTTATCTGGGACAACATTTTCACGTTTACCTCATCTTTATATACACAATGGTAAATAATAATTTTTATTTCAGCCAAGGTAGTGTTACAATATTAGTTGAATGCTAGACTTATTTTTTTTGCAATAGTGTTGTTGTTATTCACCACTGAGGAAGACATATTATTGGTGATACAATATAACTAAGTATAACTAAGTAAAACTCTTAAGCATTAATTTAAACATAATAATATTATGTAAAAATATATTTGGATACCTGCAAACCGTAAATCTTATACCTGTTGCTGAGTAATATTAAATCGTAATCAGGTGAAAGCTTTTGAATCACCCCGTATATTATAATATACATCATCCGTATTGTACATAGTTGCATTAATTTTGACGAATCCACGTCTTACATTCATATGTAGGCAGCGTTGTACAGTGTTTTCGCCGGCGGCAATTACAGTGCGCCTTTGGCGTGTCTAATATTACATATTATATTATTTTATATTATTATATTTCATTTTTACACAGTCACTGCCACCGGTATTTTTCCAACAATTTATTCCTGAGGGATTGTACTGTACGTGGCATGTGTACTATTACTACAATTAATATCGTCTTTATTGTGCTGGCATCGATGAATTCGTAAGACACCGGTCCAGGACCAATTCGGAGACACAATGTCCACGTCGCTCTTCTTCTACACTTATTGCTGTGGTATCATTGGAAATTTTTATGCACTGTTTAATGAATTTAAAGTTTTTGGAAGGAGATAAAATCGACAGAATGAGATTTTCTAGAAATTAATCGTATCCTTCAAATGCGCCAAAATCCCAGCTACCTGTGTGATAAATGTTTTATCTGACTACGATAGAGCGAAAGAGTTTTGGAGTTATAACTTATAACTTAAGTACAAAATTATAATGGTAGTAAAGTATTAACAGTATTAATTTTATCAGTAAGCTATATCAAAAATTAATTTTACAAGATCAATTACAATTTTAAAGGTATACTTACTTTGTTTACATAACATTTAGTTTTGGGGTGGATCTTTTATGATTCTTTTTACAATCATTTTCTATTAGTTTCTAAGGAACACCATACTTGCGGTTTAAAATAAATATTGAATTCTCAATTTCCAATATTAATTACTATAATTTATAACCTACTCCGCTCAAGTTTAAGTTACCCAGTCTATCTTTCTATCGTTTTCTGTTTAGTTTCAGTCGAACTATATAATATAAACCTTTAATGAATGCAATTACAATGATTACTTTTATGAATTGCCACTTCTTGATTTTTGCACATATTTTAGTACCTGAACACAAACATTTATATTTATATACCTAATACCTATGAATAAATAATATATATAAGATTTCCATTTTTAGAAACAAAATCCTTGAGTGAGACTATCTTTAAAATGAAGATTTTCTAAAATCTTTAGAGCACTCCTATACATGTTATTCGAAACTGCCATGAAAATAACAAGTCCCATAGCTATTATAGATTCGGCTGTTTATTGATTGGTCAACCAAGATTAGACATAGTATTTAAAAGTAAAGTTTAAATAAAATACCTAATAATAACAATATTATTTTTACTTAACACATTTTTTCCTATATACCTAATACAACATTATTATATTATTCTACTGAATAATTTGTAACTTAAATCATGGTACATCGATGTAGTTCTGAAATTTAAAATACTTATTTACTAAAACCGAACTACTAAACTTGAGTTTGGAAGATCGAATTTATTTATAGATACTAATTTTTCCATACAATATAGACCGAAATGTTTTTTAAAATTAAGTAGAGTAGTCCTTGAGACGATAACTATAAATCCAAACCATAATGCTATACCTGCACATAATATTGTCTTGTCAATAATATAAAAATGTGATGCAATTTAATATTCATCACGTTAGATCTCTCTCTCATCAGTCACATCTGAAATGGTCATTGTTTTTTTTTTAAATTTTAAATAAACAAAATAACAAAATTATAAATTGATTATTCAATTTTAACAGTTTTATTTTATAAATTAATAAATTAATAAATTATATTATATAAAGGATTCAACTCTGGTATTTTTGGCATACAAAAATATGATTTCTTTCTATACCTCAAAATACGAAACATTTTGGGGTCACTGAATGGACAAACTTTACAAACAGAGCCTAAATAATTTTCCGGCAAACAACAAGCGGCGTGTTCCGACTGACTTGGCACGTCCAATATTACAAAAAAAACTATTCATCACATGTCGGACTAGCAGAATGACAATTTTGCCAAACGGAGTCGACGAAAAACATAGAATTTGCAGAAAGACGAAGTTGTCAAACGGAGAAGGATGTTGCGAACACAACAGGTGTGGCGTGTTTCAATCAGCCTGGCACGCTAAATGGTACTCCAAAAAATGGTCGTCCTTGAGTTGCACGCCAGATATTCGGCAGTTGATGATCACGGCTGTCAGGCCATCGCGGCGGCGTGGACGTTCCAAATGTACACGGTCATGGACAGAGCTTAGAATTGTCTCACCGGGCGGTGTAGTAAAGATCGACCAGTGCCTCATTCTTTCGCTTGACTGTAGAGATAAGGATGGCATCCAAACTGACAAGCCGAAATCCTTGCAACCTTATCACCACTCGATCTTGATCGATGCACTAGGATTGGGCCGCGGATCGCAAAATTACAGATGTCCGAGGTGCCACAGTTACGGAACGAACTTGCAGTTATTCCAGTTGTCACCAGAGTTTAGGATCCTCACCTGCAGTGTATAACTGAGTGAAGGCTGTTCTGCCGGTGCCAACAAAAATTCCGCGAAAAATTGCTCGTTTCGAAGAAGTTAAAAAAATGTGTGAAAGAGCTTGCAGAACGCTGCATACATAATTTGTTTATTTTGTAGACATGGAAAAAAAAATTCTCCCCTCACGCTCGTGTTACCAATTACTAGTTACCACGGTCAGCCGCCGCCAACCTGCAGTTCTTGCAGTACCAGAATAGAACGTCAATAGGACGTATCACATCAGGTGGTGCTTTCGACCGGCCTGACACGTCCAATGGTACGCCAAATACTACAGGTGGTTGATTGTGATAACTGGTAATACATGAGTGTGGGGTGAAGGTCAAAGTTGATGAAATTACTCCACGTCTACAAAACTATGGCAGAAACATATTCTGCGAGCCACATTCACCAATGATTTCCACAAGCATTTTTTGGATCTCTTCCAAAGCGATCTTCGTGTTTGTTTACTTGGGACTTCTTCTGACACGCACGGGATGGTATTCAATCCGCCATATACCGGAGACAGAAGCCTTAGCTCCGGCGACGACTGGAAATTTCTCGCAAGTGTGCGTCGTAGTGGTGGCTCGTAGACAGCTTTTATTCTCCGGTCTACAGCCAAGTCCAGCGCTTCGATGAATAAATAGCGGTGATCAAGTTCCAAGAATGTTTAAATGTCCAAGTCGGCGCCATCCAACTCCGCAGTCTCGTGATAGGTTGGCACCGGCACCGGCGACGGGTCGGTCTCCGCTACGACGTGATGAAAAGTTGGCGATTCAGCCCTGAGCTCCGGTGATGACATGGTTCGCCGCAACTGGGAACCGACCTTCGTCATTCCACCATCAAATGCCAAATCTTGCAGCGAACCAACCATCACGGACTGTTGCTCATTGGCATTGTCCGACGACTTGGCGTTCATCTTCTGTGCCATTTAGTATAACAAAAATGTAAAGAATCAAACTTTGTAACTTTTCTTTTTCTTGAAGTGTCTAGGTCAGAGGTTCCCAAACTTTTACGACCACGGCACCCTTAAAAAATTTTTTGTGTTTCGCTGAATCCTAATGTCTAATCCAACTCAACTACAATTTTTGTAAATTAAAAAAGGAAAATCAATTCCTTAAACTCTCAAGTCCAAATAATATTTTAGTGATACTGTTAATGACTTTTCATTATTAAACTTAGTTTAAAAAAAATTTTCAATCAAAAATTTTTTAAACAACAAACATTAAATAAACATAATTTTCTCAATAATCTCATACATCTAACGGAACCCTTGACATTGTCCCACGGAACCCTAAGGTTCCGCGGAACACACTTTGGGAAACGCTGGTCTAGGTACATGTGCCTCGGGGACGAGCTAGACATAAACTAACGAACTATAACAACAATCTGTTTGTACTGCGAATATTAAACATTAGCAGCATTGTTTTTTTTTGGTTTGTATTGTGGCCAGTATAGTTAGATTTTAGTTAGCTACTTAGTAGAAAATAGTTACAAAAAAAAAAATCGCTATTTATAAATTGTTTTGATCAATAAAACCTAGCAGGTTATCAGAATTATACCACATTGTTAAGCAATTTAGATTGTTGAAGTCAAGATTTCAAATCTGCAAACTTTTTACACAATTATTGATCACTATATTGAACAAGTTCCAAGCCTGGTCATAATCGAGTTTAAAATTTAAAGTTACCTAGGCGAACAAAATTATAATTTTTTTTTTAACTTTGTAACTTGTCTAGATATGTTTTGTT